TCAACACAAGAAACTCATGGAACCCAGACTTCCCAAACCGTCTTCACTCAGGTGTCTACCACCTTTCCTAGAAGTTCGGTTTCAGCAAAAACAGCTGTACCTCCAGACACCTCACCTTCCACAGCTCTGACAGGTACGTCTTCAACTTCCCCAAGTACCCGAATTTCAACACAAGCAACTGAGACTTCCCAAACTGTGTTCACTCAGGAATCTACTGCCTACACAGCCAGCACAATTTCCAGAGAAACATCTGTGCCTACAGACACCTCACCCTCCACAGTTCTGACTGACACATCTTCAACTTCCCCAAGTACCCCAATTTCAACACAGGAAACTCATGGAACCCAGACTTCCCAAACTGTCTTCACTCAGGTGTCTACCACATTCTCTAGAAGTTCAGTTTCCACAGAAACAGCTGTGCCTCCTGACACCTCTCCTTCCAAAGCTCTGACCAGTACATCTTCAACTTCTGCAAGTACCCTAATTTCAACATAAGGAACTCATGCAACTGAGACTTCTCAAACATTATTCACTCAGGAATCTACTGGTTACCCATCTAGCACAATTTCCACAGAAACATCTGTGCCTACAGACACCTCACCCTCCACAGCTCTGACTGATTCATCTTCAACTTCCCCAAGTACCCCAGTTTCAACACAAGAAGCTCATGGAACCCAGACTTCCCAAACCGTCTTCACTCAGGAGCCTACCACATTCCCTAGAAGTTCAGTTTCCACAGAAACAGCTGTGCCTCCTGACATCACCCACTCTGCCTCCACGAGGACTCAATTCTTCACTTTGCCACCAAGTAAGTTTCATGTGATTTACTCTGTGTTTCTCCCTTTGATCTTAATTCTTAATCATCTTTTTCTTTGAGCGGTCATGTTGCTTGTTTCTGCCCTACATACCTATCGGTTTGTATTTCTCGCCTTGATAAGTCTTTGGCATGTGGTTGGAGACTCTGTAACAGCATCTCAGTATGCTTAGCCTGGGTTCCATCTTGTGATCCTTCTGTCTCAGCTCTTGAGTGCCGTGATTACAAGTGTAAGTCTTCATGCCAAGCATGTTGATTTTGAATTGTTGTTGTTGTTGTTATTGTTATTATTATTTGATTCATAGAATTTTTCTTTCTTCCTTCCTCCCTGTTTCTCTTTCTTCCTCTCCCTCTTTCTTTCTTTTTCTCTTTCTTTCTTCCTTTCTTCTCCTCTGTTCCTTGTATCCTTAACCCCCTTTTGTCTTGTGCTCTCTCCACTAGTTCCTTGGAACGAGGTGGGAACGTAAGGCCATCATCTGCGCTTGTTCCCCTTCTCAAGGGGAGGGCCATGGTGACACCTCAACAGGACCAAGTATTTTTGTTCCTGGAGCTTTCTCAATGATCTTTTCGAATTCTGTCCTTTTCCAGAGGACTGCAAGAACGGAAAGTGGAATGGAAGACAGTGTGAATGCCAACCAGGCTACACGGGTCAGCTCTGCGACTCCATCTTGTACTGCTTCCCAGTAGGTAATGACTCCTCTGAGCCCTGCAGCCCTCCCTGTGCCCCTTGACCCTTACGGTGAGATGGCCATTTTAGAATGACTGACCATTCCCATGGCTTCACTGCAGAGAGAGGAGGTAATGCTCTTCCTGTGCTGCTCCTCCTGCCTCTAACTTTGTGGCTATCTTCTTCACCTCTCCTTTTCCTTTAATAGGAGGATTCTATCCTAACCCTTTGTGAACCTTCCACCTGACTCTCTGGATCTTCATCTGGCTGTTAGCTCTCTGTGATATCGAGAGACAAGGGCCCGGGACTGGGGAGAGAGAGTTCCATCAGTAAAAGTTTTCACAGTGCAAGTATGGAGACCTGAGCCTGGATTCCTAGAACCGATGTGAAAGTCTGGGTGTAGTGCTATGCACCTGTAACCTGACAGGGAGACACACAGAGCCCTGGGGCTCGCTCACCAGCCATGCTAGCCAAATTCAGTGAGAGACTCTGTCTCAACCACTAAAGAGAGGGGATAGGGAAGATGTGCAAGTTGATATCTGGTCTTCATACATGCATGTGCACACATGAACATGCACATGTGTGAACACACATACACACACATGAGACAGAGAGAGAGAGAGAGAGAGAGAGAGAGAGTGTAGAGGAGTCCCAGCCACCCTCAGCTGACTCTTGAGTTTCTATCTTTTTTCCCCTCCATGAGACCAACAGGCAGAAAGTTTTACCCACCCCAGAGACATCTCCAAGGGTCCTAAGGGTTGGTGTCTCATGCACCATGTTGCCTGGTCCAGAATTCACTGATATTATCAATGCTACAGTGGCTGTGACAGTAAAAGTGATTGAACATGTTGATCACAGTTGACATGAAGAACACATCCTCCCAGGCCTAGAAGAGCTTCACAGACCTTTTTGAGAGCCAGGTGGGAGCAAGTCCTCAGTCAAGTGATGGCCATGCCTACCTATTCCAGTTTCTCATCTTATGTGCTCGTCACCTCCCAGAATTTTGAGACAGAGTCCTCTCAGAGTACCCAGCCTTGAGCCCTACCAACCCAGCTCCCATTAGAGGGAGCTTCCTGCCTTCTCCCTTTCTTTTTCCTGTGGGCTCCATCGACATCAGCCTGGAGCTGTCCAGAGATAGGACATACTCCAGCCCTGTATGATCTCTGTTTTATTTTTCCAGATGAATAAAGCTTACAAGGGTGATGTTCTTCCCCAGTACAAACAAGTGATCATTAGAGCACTTCTGTGAGTGTTGGGGGGTGGGGTGGGTGGGGGTGTCCCTCTTTCACCCCCTACTGCTTCTTCCTACCCTGAGGTTAGGCTATCAGCATCAGTCTGGTCCAGGGGAACTCCAGCCCTGAAGCAGCCACTTGAGAGTCCTGATTCACGTACCATTTGTTCATAGTGATTATTCATTCATAACTTGTTTCATTCACAAAACTTGTCACGCACCCATAAATTCATCATCGGTTCATCCACCCATCATTTGTTCGACAGTTCATTCATATCTTGCTTGCTCATTCTCTCATTCATCACTCCGTTCATTGACGGTCTACCATCCCAGTCCGCTTACTCATGACAGTCATTCGTCCACACACATTCATTCATGACCTTGTTCACTCATCCAGTCCTGTCTGTTCGCGACTTACGCTCATTCTTTTTCCCATTCTTCACCATGTTTATTCATTCACCGTTAGTTCTCTCATCCATCCTCCCTGACGGTCGTTCCATTTGTCAGTTATTCATTCACCGTTAGTTCTCTCATTCATCCACCCTGACAGTCATTCCATTTGTTAGTCATCAACGTTTTATTAACCGCCAACCCTAGCTGAGAGTCACACACTTGCAATAGTAGACTTGAACGAGAAGATCAGAAGTTGAAGGCCAGCCTGGGCTACACAGTGAGTTCCATGCCAGCCTGGGCTATGTGAAGAAACCCTGCTTCAGCAAAACAGAACAAAACACAGTGAAATAAAAGAATTACGTTAGCTGCTTGGAACACAGTATCCCACTCTTCCCAGAGTACAAAATGGCAGAGCCAATGGCGCCAACTAAAGTTTAAGGAGGAGTGTTCAGAATGGCGTAGGGAAAGAGTTACAGAGGGGGGGAGAAGGACAGAAAGGCAGAGCAGGGTGAATTCTACAAATTTGAAAGTGCACACAATAGTTACAGTGAAAGTTAGAGAAATGTCTCATGCCAATCAGCGAGGCTGTCCTTATCAGCAGTTGGCCTGCAAGGGACAGCATTTGATTTGCAAGGGACAGGATCTTATTAGCTCTATCTGGCTGCAGGGTAGAGAACAGGTGGCCAGAAGTCTGCATTGGAGGTGACGGTGTCAGCGACTACAGAGAGGACTATGTGGGAGAAAGGGGTCCTGTGGGAAAGCTCTTGAGCAATAAGATTTTCCCACAAGGCCACGGGGACTTGCAGAGAGAAAGGGGAGGAGGTAAGGAATAAGACAGATTTCTGAACTGCTGAGGTGTGGGTTGCCTGCGCTGAGATGAAGGCTATGAAAAGGAGGAAGACTGCTGGCCTCTCCTGCCGGTTACCATGACAGATGACTTACCCTGTCTCAAAATCACTCCCTTCAGCAGCCTCACTGGCCACGTAGTGAGGGGCTTCAAGTTTAGGGTCCCACCTTTTAACAGGAACTCATTATTTCTTATTCATTCTCCTCTTCTCCTCTTTTCTTCCCCTCTTCCTCCTGCCTCTCTTCCTCTTCTCCTTTCCCTCCTTCTCCAAGCACTTGGTTAAGACATCACCACCACCTTCAACCGTGATTAACATCTCGAGGCCCCACCACTCTCTTTTCCACCGATTTCCAGTCCCAGCGACTTCACCCAACTGATTTTTATTCCATTATTGTGTGTGTTCTGTGTGTGCAACAAACGTGTGCATGTACATGTGCACACGCATGGAGGTACGGAGGTCACCGGATAACTGGGAGGAGTTGTGTATCTCCTTCTACTGTGTGGATCCGGGGATTGAACCTAGGCCACAGGGCTTGGCTGAGACTGCCCCGACCCACAGAGCCATCAGGCTGATCCAAGCCTCTATTTTTAGAGATAAAGTTCATCCTTTAGCTTTTGTGACAAAGTGAGATTTACTGATCTTGAATCGTCTTGCTCAACTGGCCCCCGGGAACTTTTTAACTGCTCAAGGGTGGGGGCTATCTTTCTTTTCCTTTTCCTTTTTCCTCCTGTATCTTTCCGTTCCTTTCCTTCCTTCTCTTTTTTCTTTTCTTTCTTCCTTTATTTTTCCCTTCCTTTCCTCCTTCCTTTATCTCTTCTTTCCTTTCTTCCATCTCTCCTTCTTTCCTCCTTTCTTCCTTCCCCTCTTCCTTCCCCACTCCATTCCTCCTTTCATTTCTTTTGGCCTTTTGAAACAAGGTCTCAGTATGTAGCCCAGGTTGGCCTTGAGCCTCTGATTCTCCTGCATTAGCCTTCGAAGTGCTAGGACTCAAGGTGTATGCCACCACACCCCACCCTCTTATTTCCAGCCCTCGGTTCACATGGTCGCTTCACCTTCCCATCTCCCCTCTTGCTACCTTTGTCTTCCTTGCTGGGTGTTGGCGATGTGGGGGAAGTGCTGAAGTCTCTCCTGTTTGCAGCAACGGCAGCATCGTGGTGGAAAGTGATGTTGTTCTAGAGGCAAACTACACCCCAGAGTACACGATGATGTTCAGAAACGCCACAGAGACTGTGAGGGACAAAATCTCGAAGGAGACTAGCACAGTCGTAACTGACCTTTACTAGTGCCGACAGAAGTCCTCTGAAACTCTTCTACTTCAAGGGAAGAAACCTGGGTCTCTGCTTCCTCTTCTCTTCTTGCTTGGAACACCGGAGTCCCCACTAAGGCAGGAGGATTGCAATGAGTTCAGAGTTAGTCTGGGGTCCACAGTCAATTCTAGGCTTATCGTCCTTTTTCAGCACTTGCTGCTCTTACAGAGGACCTCAGTTCAGTTCCCAGCGCCCACATTGGACAGCTCACAGCTACCTATAACTCCAGCTCCGGAAGATCCAGCCCTCTTCCACTCTCCACAGCCATCCCAACATATGTGAAAACACACACACACACACACACACACACACACACACACACACACACAGAGAGAGAGAGAGAGAGAGAGAGAGAGAGAGAGAGAGAGAGAGAATACATATTTTTTAAAGAATCCAGAACAAAACCAAACCATCCCCTAGAGCCTCCCCTGACTCCATCCTGTTTCCTGCCATCTCACTCAGTCTCAGACTGAAGTTGTCACCCCTATGTCCCCAAGTGTGCCTCCTCACAGATATGGCTGTATATCTGGAGCTCTAAAGTAACTCTATGGTGGGCAGCTGATACAGAAGAAGAAAGGGAAGTAGAAAGAGGTGGAGAGAAAGAAGAGGAGGCAAATGAATGAAGGGGTGGAGGAAGGAAAGAAAGAAGGGGGAGGATCTCTGGTGGGAGAAGGGTAGGAGCCCTGGAGAGGAGAAGGGGAGGAGCCCTGGTGGGAGAAGAGGTGGAGCCCTGGTGGGAGAAGAGGAGGAGCCCTGGTGGGAGAAGGGATAGAGCCCTGGTGGGAGAAGGGGTGGAGCCCTGGTGGGAGAAGGGGAAGCCTGGCTGTTGACCTGCAGAAAGGTTTTTATTGTGATTTTCTCTTCCTTTATCTCCAGCAGACCACATACTGTGCTACAATGGTAACTTCACCACTGTGGAGTCTCTAACCTTCAGCTTCAACCCTGCGGGTGAGCAGCCCCTCAGAACTGTAGGCAGCAGGAGCAGATGGAGTGCGGACGGTAAACAGGGATCCAGGGAGAATTCTGGCTGCACTGACTCTAGTTGCCGTCTCTCACCCTGTAGAGTATTGCTCCCAGATGGCTGCCAAGGACTTTGGCCAATACTTTCACCCAGAGGATCTGGACGGGACGCTGACCTGCGTGAACAATTGCACTCAGGGGACGAAGTCACAGCTCAACTGTGGCCCAGGCTACTGCCAGCTGCTGCACTCAGGGCCCCAATGCGTGTGAGTGCCTCACCTTGTTCATCCCGGCACACACTCCCGATGAGAGGGTGCTTTCTGCCCCACAGCCTCCCATAGAGCTGCTGCACCATGCCCTGTGGATCTTAGATCTGCACCCCACCCACCCCCAGTTTCTCTTGCTGCTTGTGAGTGAGTTGCTAGGTGGATTTGCAATGTGAATAAATAACAGAACAACTCAAGACAACTGTATGTAGTGGCGGAGGGGCTTGGAAGGCGCGCTCCACCGTCTTGCACGTCCCTCTCCCTTTCACAGGTCTCTCCCATCACCGTCTGCCCCCATGAGAGTGATGGGTAGGCAAGGGGTGTAGATCCAGGCACTCAACAGTCCAGCCAGGGCTGCTCTGAGAGGGTTCAAATTATTTGCCCCACTATCCTGTCACCTGTCACTGCTCTATTCTTTGAGCTGTTCATTCCTCCCTTCTTTCTGTTCCCCTTCTTCCTTCCCTCTCCCCTGACCTTTTATCTTCATGTTTTTAGACCAGGATCTCAGTAGCCCAGGTTGAACTGGCAGTCACTGTGTAGCCCAGGCTGGCCTCAACCTTAAACTAATCTTCCTTCTTCTAGTCTCCCTCCCCCTCGAGTGCCGGGATTCCAGTCCTGCCTGACTCACCGTGCCCAGCTTAATCATTAAGTAACGATATAGTTCGCTTAAATTACTTAATCGGTCTTACAACATCACAGCCGTGAACTCTTCCAGCTGTGACCTGGCTACTCTCGTTTCCAAGATAAGTTAAATAATTATCATAAATTAAAGTTCAAGATATCAAACATGATAAGAACCCCGTTCTGGTGCCAGCTGCTGGGAGGTTAGACATGCAAACACACACAGAGTGAGGATGAGCCACTCAGCTCCCTGGGGTCTCCCCAAGTTCCCCCTCTCAGTCCTTACAGATTCCGGGACTCTAGCTCCCCCAGACACATAAACCTATCTTTAAGAGGGATGTCTGGGCTTTAGGAATTGATTTTCCCTTTGGGAGGTCTGGTTTAAGGGACCTCACCTGAGCCTATTGTGTGTCCACAGGTGCCCGAACACTGACACCCACTGGTACTGGGGAAAGACTTGTGAGTCCAGAACCAGCAAGAGACTTGTGTATGGCCTTGTGGGCACCGTGCTGGCATTGCTACTTGTCTTTGTGATTGTCTTGGCTGTCTTGTACAGCTGGTCCCAGAGAAGACAGCACAGGTGAGCTCACGAGGCCAGCAACTATGGCGACACAGTGAGAAGAGCAGGGCAACGGGGATGACACTCCACTGGAAAGTCACAGTCTTAATGTTCTGCTGTTCCGTTGTTTCCAGCCTGGCAGTGAAGAAGCCAGCTAAAGCCAGGCAAGGCGTTTAGCTCCACTCACCCCTGGGCATCACCAAGGGTGTCTTTCTTATCTGATAGGGTAGGATCATCTCTTTGAGTGAGAAATGGAAACAGAAACATAAGCACCGAAACGAGATTATATAATAAAATTGTATTTTATTATCTAGGCTGCCTTAGAGCTTAACGAGGAAGCTGGGCCTGAGCCAGATGGCTTGAGATGTACCTTCCAGGAACTGCCAAGAAACATCCGCTAGATCACTAACCCAGGCTAGAAGTGGGCAGAAGGGACTACCGCTATGCCCCCATTTCATACCCGAGGAGACTGAGGCCCGTTAGGGAACTGAGGGATATTTGGGGAGCCTGGTCACTGCCACTGGAGATGTAGAAACAAGAATGAAGCTAGCCTTCACTTCCTACGGCCATGACTTTGAAGGGTGGAGATGCGACTGTCCCCTTGAGGATCAGGGTCTGCCGTGTCCCCGCCTACCCCTCTCCCGTGCAGCTGTCACTGAGGACACTACTGTTTGCAGATCAACATATGACCTGTCTCAAGAATGGCAGAGAGAAACTCTTCCCGGAACTTTCCAGAGCACAGGTGTTTGGGAAGGTAACTGTTGTGGGGGGGGGGGGTAGGCAAGGAAGGCGCAGTGGCCACAAGGGGGTGGATGACACTCATCCCGATGACAGCTCACATCACGTGGTCCCTCTGCATCTCAGTCCTCTTACTCCTTGCTCTTTTGTGGTCCCGTATCCCGTGATCCTTCCCTAGTACTTGCTCAGGCCTCTCTCTCACGGACCTAAAGTCTTCCTTTTTATTGCATTTATTTAGTGGGGTTATGGGGGTAACATGTGTACCATGGTATGTAGGCAGGGGTCAGAGGACAATTTTCAGGAGCTAGCCCTTTCCTTCCATTCTGTGGATCCCTGGATGGGACTCAGGTCACCTCACCCATCTCAATAAGTTGGCCTTTGACCTTTGCTCCTTCTTTTAGCTTCTCCCCATCAAATTCCCCAGGGCCTCCGTTGAGCATTCTCCAGCCACTAGCTGGAAAGTTCCATCCCCCACCACCTATACCAGCACCAAACTAATTGTTTCTATAACATGTTTGTGACCCCTGCCCTCTCTAGGGACCCCCTCCACCCCACCTCCACTTTGTCCTTTAGTGTCCTCTGATTCCTGAGCAAGTCAGGGCCCCCTAGGGCTGTGTCTGCCTGGGTCTCTGTCCACACTATGTAACTTCTTCTGTAGACAGTACAGCTGCCTCTGCCCAGCTTCCCACTTAGGTGGCTTGGACTACCCACCTTCCCAGTGTGTGTGTGTGTGTGTGTGTGTGTACACCCGCACACACACACACATGCAAAGGTCAGTCTCGGGGTTGTTCCTTAGAAGCTGTATGAGTTTTGGGGGGACAAGGGCCCTCATAGGACCCTGGGGCTCACAGATGGGTCAGGCTGGCTTCCTGGAGAGCCACATGAGTCCACCAGTCTGCTTCCTCAGAGCTGGGGTGTCACCACAACCAGCTTTCATGTGGATTCTAGTCTCATGATCAAACTCAGGTCCTAAGTATTTACAAGGCAGACATTTTACCAGCTGAGCTGTCTCGTCAGCATCCCTTCCCCCAACTCTCCACTGTTACTGCGTATCCCATGGTAATCTCAAACTAATGACAGTGCAGTATAAGTTGGCCTTGAACTTCAGGAGCCTCCCAATTTAGCCTCCCAAGAACCAGGATACGATGTGGATCACCACACCCATGGCTTCTGCTTCCTAGGTATTTTTATGACCCCCCCTTATGTACCACCCCTTTTCTAGTGATTCTGAATAGGCTCAGTGTCATCTCCTGCCCCACAAGACAAGATGTCAGACACACACAGCCTCTCTATGGAGTACCAGGATATATCAGTGCCCAGGTTAGGACCGGAGTACCTGGCCAGGTTTGGCTCAGCCTGGGAGCTCATTGAAGGTTTCTGATTCAAGCCTTCTAAGCATCAGCTTAGAAGATGGCTTCCTGGTCCTTCAGACAGTCCCTGAGTGGACAGAGAAGAGCCATTCTTAAGCCGGAGGCACTGTTTAAGAAAAGGCACGGTGTCACACATCTATAATCCCAGCATTAGGGAGGCCGATGCAGACCGGTCAACAGTTAGTTCAAGGTCATTTTCTGTTGCAAAACAAGTTTGAAGCTAGCTGGTTTACATGTCTCAAAGAAAGAAAAAGAAAAAAAAAAGAAAAAAGGAAGGAAGGAAGGAGAGAAGAAAGGCTTTGGAGGGTTTTGATCAGTGCATGTGGTGTTGTATATTTGTTCATTCATTTGTCTAGAAGAGGGTCTCACTATGTAGCCCAGGCTAGCTCTGAACTCACAAGCTTTCTACCCCAGTCTGCCAAACAGCTGAGTTGCTAGGAATATACATCACCAAGGCCATGGATGAAATTTGAGTGGTTGGATCAGGTGGCTCTGGGTGGGTGGGTGGGGAATGATATGGGGTCACGGTAAGAGGATGAGATGATTCAGGAGATGAGAAAAGAGGAAGTAACTGTCGTTGGCAAATAACAGAGCCACAGGGACAATTTCTCAAAAAACCTAGGTTGTCTGCTGTGTTTGCTGTTGCTAAGGGCTGGGCAGGTAAGGAGCGTAAGATGTGACTCAACTGGCTGCCACCAGCTCCACTCCCATCCATCCCTCACAGCGGTGACAGTAGCTCCCCATGGGTATGACTTGTGACCCCTGGTGTATAGTACAGAGTGGGTAGGGAAAGCTACGCTGGTGTCTCTGCATCACCCCAGACCAGCTCCCAGGCTCGCATCAGGACCACTAAGCCTCCATCAAGGATTTGAATAGTTGAAGTAGTGATCTTCATTTCCCTGGGTCCCTCACCCCACACACATTCCACCTGTCCGTGGGTGGTCCCAGCCTCCTCTGGGGGGACCCGCTTATACCCTGTCTTTCCCTACAGCTGACAATCTGAAAGAGGACAAATTTGGCTTTGATAAAAGGTACAGCCACTTCTGGCCAAACCTGGAGAACGTGGACTAGAAAACCAAGGTGCCACAGCTCAGAGTTTCCCCCTCCCTGGGACTGACTGCCCCTCTCTCCTACCCTGTGTTCCCCTGCTCCCACCCCTCCCTAGCTCCTCCCACCCCTTGTTGACCTCATCTTTGTCTCCTATCCCCTAGCTTGACATTCAGAGACCTGAGGTGGTGAAATCAGCAACACTGTGAGGACGGGAGGCGCCTACTCCCTCACCCCCATCCAAATTTAGACAAGAGAGGGACAGAGCCCCCCCGCCAATATTCCTGCTTGGTTAAGATGAAGCTGACAGCGGATCCCAAAGCTATTCTGAGGTGCTCGGACTCAGTCTCTGGGTCACTGCTGTGGAAGACTTAGTAAAGCAGCAGAGAAGAGGGGACTGAGCCGGTGCCACCTCCTCCTCACTCACCTCTAACGTCCCAGGAACCCAAAGACTTCCAGGCACCTCAGCATCATTGTTTGCGTGTAGGTGTTGCCCTACTCTGGAATTTCTCTATTAATAAAGCAATTCTTTAAAAAAGAGTCTTGGGTTTTT